TAATTTAGATTAAAAACTGCTCATGTTGCATGTATGCAGCATCTTTGTTTGGATTGTGATTAAATTGCAGTGGTTGCCTCTAATTTTAAATGGAAAGAGCACAGATAAAGCTTTAGTTTGTTTATATGAAGAGATTTTTTTTATTTGTGTTACTTATTTATTTGATTTGGGGCTTGTTTTAAAATTTCAATGTAGTTTTGTTATTTACATTTACATTATATTTAAATTTTGTTATTTAGCAAACGCTTTTATCCGAGGCAACTAACAAATGAGGACAATAGAAGCAATCAAAACCAACAAAAGAGCAATAATTTACAAGTGCTATATTAGTATATTATTATAGTGTTATATTTCAATTTCACAAAGAAACGTACAGTATTTTGTCCAAGCAATAATAAAAGGACACATTTAATTTATAATTTGTCTTAAATCTCATTTTGTAAAAAAAAAATATCGTGAATCGAATCGTGAAATCAAAATCGTGAATCGAATCGAATCGTGAGTTGAGTGAATCGCTACATCCCTAGTAACTGGAATGTAATTAAAATAAGGTTTGAAAATAGTCTTATTTTTAGTTTGACTTTTGCTTCTGGGTTTGCTGCTTTTTCCACATCTGTTCTTTATTCCAGCATGCGCTGTAGACTTCACAGATTAACACCTGCTGAAGTACATACACCTGCTGTGATGCTGGGATGTAGGCAGGATTACGAATATAAGTGTTTCTTAAACCCTTGTGAAAAAGATGTGTACTTAATTGTATTGAATGTGCACTTGTAGCATACTGTACTTTAAAAAAATAAAAATAAACTATATGTCTCAAGTGCCCTTTTATTCCTCATAATATTAGTGAAATAAAAGGGCACTTGAGGGAGAGTTTTAGTAATCTTCATGTAAAGTACTTGACTATTATTTTAAATGTAGTGTGTCAGTATTACATACAAGCTTCAATAGAAATGGCTTTGACGTTTTTTTTGTAGTCTATCATAAATGATATAAATGATTGTTAGTACATTCAGCAGTACACTTTAACCACATTTTAAGCACTTTATAAAATTATGAAATAACTGAAAAGCACTACTTAATTCCCACTTAAGTGAGTAAAAAACAGTCTAAACTAAAGTTCATCAAAGTGCATTTAATATACATTTATTATAAACTGTATATACATTCTTATTTAATTGCAATTAATATGCAATGAAGTGGCCAAAATCATGAGTGTAATGTATTAAGGAATTAATTTTAATATGTTCATGTTAAGCAGCTTTGTTTCTCCTAAATCCTGTTTGAGACATCGTCTGTCATAGCTGTATAGGTAAAAGCTCACGTGCTTATGCAGGTGTGTGTGTGTGTGTGTGTGAGTGTGTATGTGATTATACCTGTGTGCTTCATTATAACTTATCATTCCCCCTGTTTTTTCATTGGCAGTTGGCGCTGGGCTCTTTTCCATATCCACAGGTGAGTCTACTTCATCAATTCAGATACCAGTTTAACCAATTTAACGTTTAGCTCTTGAATACTCAACAGTTCTACGCCCTAGAGGCACGGCGGACACTTCCTTCGTGATCTTAGTCTATGGGTAGTAATTAACTGGTTGTTCATCCCACAATTGCTCATCCAATCCTTGTTTACTCAATTACATTACGTACAGTCCTGCAGACCCGCTCCATTCCTCAATCCCAACAACCCTGTAATCAGATTGCATGCAGGGATTTGTCAAGATTATCCCATTTTAAGAATGACAAACCCAGATTATAATCCGGATTCATTTGGAGGTTCCTAGTTTAAGAACCACATGGTACCCAATGCACAAAGCATGTCATTTTATGGTGCCTGTAGTATGACATGGTGTAGATGTACAGTGTGTTTAAAATACTTAGTTGTACTTGTTTAATTATACTGTGTCAAAACTTGTGTTGTACTTTCAAAATTAATCCCTCTATAAGGAATAAATTAGATCAGGGGTGTCCAAAGTCAGTCTTGGAGGGCCACTGTCCTGCAAAGTTTAGCTCCAACCTGCCTCAACACACCTGTCTGGAAGTTTCTAGTATGCCTAGTAAGACCTTAATTAACCGGTTCAGTTATGTTTAATTGGGGTTGGAGCTAAACTCTGCAGGACAGTGGCCCGCCAGGAGCAGGATTGGACACCCCTGAGTTCGATCTATGAACCGCTTATAAACAGCAGACTGAGTTTCTGATTCTTCTCTAGTTTTTTGGAAACTCTTTTCTAAATTAATTTATACATGGTAACACTTTACAAAATGGTTCAGTTAATTGACATTGACATCTATTGGGGCGGTCATTGCCTGATGGTTAGAGAGTCGGACTTGTAACCCAAAGGTCGCAGGTTTGAGTTTTGGTACCGGCAGGGATTTTAGGTGCGGGGAGTGAATGACCAGCGCTCTCTCCCTCCCTTAATACCACGACTGAGGTGAGACCCTTGAGCAGGGCACCAAACACCCAACTGCTCCCCGGGCGCCGCAGCAATATGGCTGCCCACTGCTCTGGGTGTGTTCACGGTGTGTGTGTGTGTGTGTGTGTTTGTTCACTACTCACTGCTGTGTGTGTGTGTGTGCACTTGGATGGGATAAATGCAGAGCACAAATTCCGAGTATGGGACACCATACTTGGCTACACGTTACGTCACTTTCACTTTTCACTTATTGACATTATTACAGTAATGCATGAGGTATCATGAGTAATACTTTCACAGAATTTCTTAGTCTTGGTTAATGTTAACGTAAATGGATTGAAAGTGAAAGAAAATACATTTATATTGTTACAAACATTTTATTTCTATTTCAAATAAATGCTGTTCTTTTAAACTTTCTATTCATCAAATAATCCTGGGGAAAAAAATGTATCACACTTTCCACAAAAAATAAGCACAACTGTTTTTAACATTTATAATAAGAAAGGTTTCACATATTCACTATTATCTAAGAGTTTTCCCTCAGTAAACTGCTAATCTGCTGCTTATTAATAGTGAGTACGTTAGTTGTTAAGTTTAGGTATGGGGTAAGATCTAAAATATGGTCATGCAGAATAAGGCATTAATATGTGCTTTATAAGTACTAATAAACAGCCAATAAGCAACTAGTTAGTAATGGAAATTGGCCCTTAAAATAAAGTGTTTTACCAATAATCTTATATACAGACCCAAAACTTTTGGACAGTAGTGTACAGTATGTCGAATGTAACATTAACCAAGATTTATAAATGTTTATTGTGAATATATGTTATGATATATATTGTGAAGTGTTCTTTTAATCATTTAGTTGTGACAGTTTTCAGCCCTGTGTATATACTTTAGAAATATACTGTATGCTCAAATCTGATTCAGTGCCCTAGTTTTCTCTAATCAGACTCTCGGCTTTTTAAAGTTGTGCATGTAAGAGTGCAGTGAGTTTAATGAGGGAATTGTTGACTAATGCTCAATAAATTACTCCCAGCATGCCTGTTGGGTTAATTAGCATATTAAAACAAAGCAGCCACTCAGGGCATGCAGGGGAAATCAGAAAGGAATGTTTTGAGGCTGCATCTAGAGCCAAAGCCTTGAGCATCGAACGGTCACGGAGGCTGGGCTTGGCACTGGTGTGTGTGTGTACGTTATCTTACACATCACTTGATGCAAAGCTATCGCGCACAATGGCGAAAGTTACAAAATTGATGTGCAATATGTGAAATTGAAAGGATATTATGAGTAGTACTATGATTAATCCTAAATCCTGATCCATTTTTAGCGTAAATATTTCTAACATAAAATAGACAAAATATAAGATGAACAAACTGTGAGATGATGAACATGCACAACAATTGATGGGTAGAAAGAATGTTAGAAGGCTAGAGGCCAGGGTGTTGTACGAGTGCATTCGTGCATTTGTGTGTGTGCATTATCCCGTGGCCTGGAGGCTTGTCTCATTTGAAATTGTTTTCCTCTGCTCTCCAGCATTATCTATTAACAGGCCCATTATCATGTTAATCCACAGAGTATTATTACGTAAACTAATGTATTCACATGTACACACAAACAAACCCTCATATACACAGTGTCTGGAACCGTGATTGAATCTGTTGATGTTAAATATTTTACAGCATTCCTCTTCCTTACAGGACTGCAGAACTAAATTTGTCCTTTTTATGTTGGCCAATAACTAATCCTTCAAAACAAAAACAAAAATCCTCATTAACAATGACATGGAATGTGTGAAAGCCATTCAGGTCCACCATTCTTCTCAGAGTGTATCATCATACAGTATATCATTATCAGATAAAGCGATATCAGTTGAAACCAATGAATGGCAAAACTTTTGTTCTTGGCCCGTAGAGCCAGAGGCATTATACTGAAGCATTTCATGTATACACACCCCATTAATTTATTACTTCCTCCTTTAATCTTCCTCACTCTCCCTTTCCCTGTTCCTGCATTTCAGAATTCATATGGAATGGAAATGGAGAGAGAGAGAGAGAGAGAAAGGCATGAAGGAGAAAGAGGGAGGGGGTTAGTCAGTAAGAAAGAGAGGGAGAGCTAAACCTCCCACTGAGTCCCAAAGCTTTAGAAATGGCTTTATAACCTTTTCCAGACTGATAGATCTCAATTACTTTCTTTCTCATTTGTTTCTGAATTTCTTTGGATCTCGGCATGATGTCTAGCTTTTGAGGATCTTTTGGTCTACTTCACTTTGTCAGGCAGGTCCTATTTAAGAGATTTCTTGATTGCGAACAGGTGTGGCAGTAATCAGGCCTGGGTGTGGCTAGAGAATTTGAACTCAGGTGTGATAAACCACAGTTTTAAAAGGGGGGCAAACACTTCTTCACACAGGGCCATGTAGTTTTGGATTTTGGTTTCCCTTAATAATAAAAACCTTCATTTAAAAACTGCATGTTGTGTTTACTTGTGTTATCTTTGACTAATATTTAAATTTGTTTGATGATCTGAAACATTAAAGTGTGACAAACATGCAAAAAAAATAAGAAATCAGGAAGGGGGCCAACACTTTTTCACACCACTGTATATATATATACTTTTTTTTACAGTGTACAAAATAGCATGGTTTTGTATTTAATTTCCATTTAGGACCTTACTTAACAAATTGTAAGACTTTAACATTTTCAAAAAGGAGCCAAGGTGATGTGTTTAAAGTGGTCTTGATTTTTCAGTGGAGATCACATTGAAGTATTTTATCTAACTCCAGTGGTTTAATTGGAAAACAGCGCATACAACAAATATTTATGCATTTAATTGTCCTGTGATTGCCGTGCTTTGCAGTTTTAGCCAATGCTGTGTGCTATTTAGTTCCTACATTATGGGTCCAGCGTCTCCAGGTATTTAAAGAGTTTAATTGAGAAAAAGAAACAATCACTAGTATGTAATATAATATGTCATCAGAGGGCCTCACATCGTTAGCTGTTAGTTTAAACTATGAGGTCCAGGCAGGAGGTTTAAGCCAGATTGAATTAGCGGAGCATTGTCCTGAAAATAACATTTCAGTTCAAACAACAAAATATGCGAGAGATTTTTTTAACCTTTAACTAGGACGCCCCTTTCCAACAGAAATGCTATGTAGAAACTGTAAGTATTTTATTGTTATGACATGATTATGAATATAAAGTAACCCCTATGAAACAAGTTATATTATTGTCAAAGAAATAACCCACTATTTTTATCCCCAGACTGTGATGCTTTTTGAGATTTATATCATGAATGTACTTCTAGAGTCAAACATATAAACCTGGAGGTGAATAAAATGCAGGAAATATGAAATTAATGGGAAAAAATGCTTGGTAAAGCTTATCCTAACTATTAGCTGATGTGTTTTCATTATGTAAACGATGTTAACACATCATGCCCATATCTTGCCATCAGTGTTTTCATAATCTTCCCCCAGTGATCATAAACATGTATTGGTACAAGTACAATGCTTGTGATTGTAACGTACTGATTGCATGTTTTTGCTCTCACTCACTCACTCTCACCTACATTTTTTTCCCCTTGCAGATTCAAAAGAACCAGGGTTCCTTAATGGTAAGTGTTTTTCATGTATTTTCTGAGATGTAGGCGGCTCCTCTCTCACAACCCCTCGCAGTTTTCTCCTCACCTCGCATGGTTGCCTCCCTCTGAAGTTAATACCAGACAATAATACGCTTGGTCTTAACAGCCTGTATTCAGATTAGGTGCCATTAGAAATAAGAAAACATTACAGATCAAATGGCTTTTCCCGAGTCAGAGTGCATTTGATTAAGCTGTATTGCTACCTGTTTTATTGCATTAATGATTTTATTTCGTTTGCACTGTAAGGTAGTTGTATCTAAGTCTAATCTCTTGTTCTTCTACCCCCCTCTATTACAGCCTCTTCAGTTATTGCAGTGCATTGTTGATGAGGTGAGTCTGTGTCCCATGTACGAAACCGTCCCTAATGGGGTGGAAAGCTGATATTTTGTTTCCTAATGAAGCGAGGTGCATTATCAGCTCTGCTCAGGGTTTGAGCTCTGAAGAGCTGGAGCTGCCGAGAGCTCGGCCGTGCTGATGTCAAGGCATTGAACGGAACAATTGGCTTAACTCTGGATTTGGAAATTCAGCTGAACTTGAAAACATATTGAGGAAGCTTGGGCAGCAAATTGTAGTTATTTTTAGATTAACAGTAAAATAAGCACAGTTTAATAAATAAATGGCTATTTCATATTTTCTTATTTGTACAAACTAATTTATCTGATGTTTGTCGGACTGTGATAGCAGCTCAACGTTATTAAATAAGTTCATACATTGTTTTTTATTCTCTATATTTCTTTCTCTTTCATTTGGTCTCTTGCATGTGTGTAAACATGCGCGTGCACACAGAGTGGTGGTTTAATGTAGCATGACAGGGCTCTGGACAACTGAGGGTTGTGTACCACAGAGTTGTTGCATTAACCTTGACATCAGTTAGGTGCTAAAATACACCCAGCTAAACCCTGACACATTTTCTCACCCTTATCTCTCTGAGGAGTTGGGTCAGGGTCAGTTAAACCCAGATATTCCTTGAAATAGATACAGCTCTTGTGTTAAACTCACTTCTTTGATATACACACTTTTCTAACTGTGGTATGTATGTAGAGTTGTATGCTGTATTTCACCCAGTCAGCTTAGTGATTCTTCAGAATTTACTGGTCCTGAGGCAGGTGTTTGCTGTGTGTGTGTGTGTGTGTACATATATGCCCACAAAGGCTGCATTTATTTGCTTAAAAATACAGTAAAAACAGTAATATTATGAATTATTATTATTGCAATGTAAATTACTGTTTTCTATGTTGATATATTTTAAAATGTAATTTATTCCTGTTATGCCAAAGGTGAATTTTCTCTTCACTGTCATTGATTCTTCAGAAATCATTTTATTTGCTGCTCAGGCCAAACATTTCTTACTATTATCAATGTTGAAAATGGTTATAAGAACGGTTATAAGTAAGGCAAAATTATTCTTGAGCAGCAAATCAGCATATTAGAGTCATTTCTGAAGGATTATGTAGATTGGACTATGAAGATTGGAATAATGGCTGCTGAAATTTCAGTTTTACATCACATGAAAAAATACACGCACACACACACACACACACACACACATATGTATTTTATATACATACATACATATATATATATATATATATATATATATATACATATACATATACATATATGTATCTATATACAGTAGCCAACATTTGAAGTGGATCAAAACCGTTCATCAAAGTTGTCCTAAAACCAAAATACGTTCTTGTCTTAGGACAACTTTTTTGTTGTTTCTGAGCTTTTTTGATCCACTTCAAATGTTGACTACTGTATTCACATACATATATACATATATCCATATAGTTTTTATTTCTAGGTAAAAAGTAAGATGACAACATCTGTTAAAACAAGTTTGTAGTTCGGTCAGATATGTCAAAAAGAAGTAAGTAAAACAATGCACAAGTTACTTAATGGTAGGGAGGAAGGGAGAGAGAGAGAGCGTGCGCACTTCTGTTGTGTGATCTTGATGTTCGCTCACGTAGCACGCATCATTTGGATTAAAACTAAATCGTAAATATAAGACAATTTATAAGGGCATTCACTATAAACGTCATTTATTTTCACCCTTAAGCATACACGACTTTCTGGCGAAAGTGAAACTAACAGCCTGTGTGAAATGCGCTAGGCTGTACTGTATCTGTCCCTCTCATTCTGCACCAGTACAAATACGTGTGCGTGGTGCGCGTTTTGCTTGCTTCATGAGTGTTTCTGCATTATATGAGTGGCTTTGGAAAATAAATCGCTACACGTTTCAGATGAAAAAACGCGACTTCTATTTATGAAAATATCACAGTTAGGAGATTTATA